AATTAAGAAAACTAATAATCTGACTTACCCTGATTATCTGTCATTTTTTTAACATTATCTTTAATTAAAAGTACTGTATTTCTCATTACTGAGGATACACCCCATTTTGACTTGCACATTTTTAAAATTTTTTTTGTTGGTTGGTTGGTTGGGTTGTACATAAAATTAATCAGGATATGCCCTTTTTTTCTTTTTTCTTAAGAGAAAAAAAAAAGACAAGTAACCTTTGATGCAGATGTAAGATGTAGAGTGCATGTTTGAGGGTTGTATCATGGGTTTGATTGATTTGTTTGTGTTTTTATTTATTTTATTTATTTTTTTTTTTTTACAGTTCTGAATTCTGCTTAACTGATTGAGAAAAGTGGTGGAAACAGTGTAACCTGTTATTGAGGTGGGGGGGGATATCCACTTTAGCAATGGGGAAATATGGCAAATTATATTTTTGTCCTGCTTCAATAGATAATACCTGAAAATGTTTTTATTTGATAATTTCAAATTACCAGTACTTATGTGATTGGCTTTCAGAATAAAAGCATTATCATGAAAGGATAAGCTGCTAAGGATAGATGTGAATTCAAATCCCACTTAAAGCTCTTTTTTTCTTTTTTTTTTCATTTTAAATATGTATCATTTAATGGCTGTAGAATAACATTTTAAGAACTGCAATGAAAATAAAATGAATGAAAGACTTGTGAAAGATTAATAACTGTAATATAACAACAGTTTTTAATTGATATTATAAAACTACAGTTTTCCAGGTACTTAAAATGTATTATTGTCTGTAGCAGACAAAAACAACATTTTATGTATCATAAGATTGAAAGAAATGAAAATCCCCCTACAATGCCTTTTTTTTTTCTTTTTTTTTTTTTTAAAATAATTAAAAGTAAGCTTTCTTATTTCAGTTTGGAGTTGGAAAGTTGAAGAGTCATGAATTTCATTTAAATGGAGTAAACTTTTTTTTTTAAGCATGCTAGACAAACAGCTATGTTTGGTTTTATATATAATTTTTCTGATTGATTACTTATGAATATTAATACTTTTAAATTTAACTATGAAAGAATATTACTTTTTAATCTGTAGATTTTCACCATGAGTGTATTTAAAAATAGAGGCTAAGTTTTTTTTTTTTTCTTTTTTCAAACAAGTCCTTTGCGTAATTTTTTTTAAATACTTCCATTGCTGCTTTTCTTGTCATATTGGTTAGATGTATATAGAATTTCCAGAATATTGTTAGTCTTTCATCTTTTTATATATATATATATATATATATATATATATAGAACCTTTCACACACATATTTATGTTTATTTAAGAGAATTCTGAAAAATTGACAGCCTAACCAAGAAGGTTTTTTTTATTACCCCCCCCAAAAAAAAAAATAAATAAATAAAAAAAATAACAATTCTAATGTGTGATCATTTGATCAGATTTTGAAGAATGGCTTGGGCCTTTCCTCATGCCAGAATAAAAATATATAATTGCATTTTTTTCTCTCTCCAAATTTCAGTTTCTTTTATTTTAAAAATTCCTGGATGTCTTTTTCCTTTCTAGTTTCTTGCACATTGAAGCATTTTAAGAGCATACAGTATACATGCACTTCTGAATTCTGCTTAGCTTAACTGATTGAGAAAAATGATGGAAACAGTGTAACCTTAAGTCTTATTTTGTTAACCTGGCCAGGTAGACTATAGCTAACTTTTCTCTTCTGTATTCAGTTTGTACTTGTAAAATTTAATACTCAAACTATTTTTAATATCTGATTTCTTTTCTCTTTGTGTTAAACACTTCTCATTCGTTCAAAGTATATGGAAATTTTACTCTGAGCAGAACTGAAAAACTGAGGAATCAGAATTTATTTTTTTATTTTATTTATTTATTTTTTTGAAAGAGTTGAAATTTCTAGGGTATATAATGAGGAAAGAGGGCTTGGAAAATTTGATACTCACAGGACAGATTGAAAGCAAAAGGGACAGAAAAACAACACATAACTTGTTGAAAGAACTTTAGTAAATGGATGGCAGAACAAAGTTTAGGAGAGATAACAAAAAAGTCAAAATTTATTAAGAGCTATAAAGGACAGGAAATTGTGGAGGGTCATGATCACCTACATTCTATGGCATATAGAAGTTGTTTATACAAAGAAATCATTCTTGAATTCCAAAAAGGAAAAATTTAATTGAAATTTAACACAGTTGATCCTCTCTGTTGTGAATATTACCTTATTGTTGATATAAAAACAATACCATGATGTGGGCAATATATACCAAAGTATATCCTTAGTACTGGTAATAAGTACAATAATGTGTTCTTTGTAAATGGCATAGTCACAATTTCCTGTCATGTAATGTGGTGATTAGAGCCAAAGCAGGAAGTAACAAGGACAGGTTTGAAACTTAATGAGAATAATCATTTGATTGTTATATTGAGAATCAAATGTATGTCAGTTACTATTTTTTTTTTTTTTTTTTTTATTACTATTAAAAAAACTGAAAAACCT